TTTTAAATGAAAGGGTCCAAAAGGACCCTGCCAAATTTAGGTGTCGTTTACTCCGGTAAGTCCGTGGTAAGGCTTCTGCAGGCTCAAAGTTAAAAGCTAAGAAAACAAATTAGCCAGGTACTAATGAAATTAGAATTAGCACAATTTTAGAGACGTACAAGCTTTCGCGCCAATTTGGGTTCTGATTTAGGATGCAACTACTCAACAACAATTAAATAGAGGGGGTTAGATTAAACAGACATGTTAACACAAGGTTTAAATATACCCTTTATCTGTTGAAGATCAAATTGTAATCATTTATTTAGGTGTACGAGGTTTCTTAGATACAATTGCTGTAGATAAAATTTCGATTTTTGAAACTAATTGGTTAAACTTTATTCAAAATAATCATTCTGATATTTTAGAAGAAATTTTAACAAAAAAAGAAATTTCAAAAGAATTAGATAAAAAATTAAATACTTTAGCTATCGATTTTACTAATAATTTTATTACTTTGATGACTCGAGCTTCGCAGACACTTTAGTGTAGATACTCACTGCAGACACATTAAGTAGGCATAACCACGTCAGTTCAGTAGACGTATCCACATCTTCTACAGCCACTATGTACATGTAGTACGCTTACCATCTGAGTAGAGCGGAAGTTGCTCATGTTGGACATGTTGCACACTCTATGTACCCGAACTTGCCGCAATTCCGCGTAGTGACACGGGTGAAAATGCTCGTCTTCCGTGCTTGTCGAGAGTAGTGGCCGACCGAAAACGCCAGGACTGCGTACAACATGTCCACAGAACACCTTCTCACCATGAGCCTGGTGGCCGTGCTGGCCTAAATGTGGGTATTTGGTTTGATAGTGACCTTGTGCTGCACACATATGCTTTAGAATGCTAATACATTTCCGGACGATATGGTGCATTTGTCGCCATTAGAGACATTTTTGCTGCACCCATCCTTGTATTTTATCAGCCAGACACTTACTGACGTTGAGGACGTTGAGCCGCCGGGTATGTGGTGACCGAAACGCAGTTGCCGTTTGCTTGGTTGAGCTCGGATGCGGTAACACACTTGAACACGAAGTTGCTGTATTGGCCTTCGCGTCCACAAAGTGGGCATGTACGCGGATGTGGCCGCTGCAGCAGGCAGCGGGCATGACGCGTTTTCACTGACTTCATAGGCTTCAGTGCATCCGGGGCCAATTGCCGTTGCAGTTGAGCGTTAGTAAGCGCCAGCACCTATCGGCATGATGCAACTTGCATCTGCAAGCTCGCTTAGCTCGCGTAGCCTGGCACTTTAGCAGGTGTAGTCGCTGTCGCAGTAGGCAAATCGACAGGTAGGCCCAGCGGCGAGCGTACATGTCGCCGCTCCGTCGTCTGTAGCGTGACGCTTCCACACACTAAAAGCGGATTTGTCGATGGATTGCCATTTGTGGTGGGATGTCCGCTGAGAGGCCACTTCAACTTAAGGTCACCGAGCATACGATCATCGAAAGTAGCAAGCAATATGAGCAGATTTGTGTTGGTTGTACACAAACTTAGTCACAACATCCGTCGTACCGTATCACTCGTACGTACATGTACCGTGATTCGCTGAAGACGGCAGCGGACATGTCGGCGCGTCCAGCCAGGACGACGGGGCACAGCATGTGCACTCCTGCCGGTACGTCTGATAACGTTGGTCATTCGTAAAAAGTGCAGCCTCGTCCTTCTTCTGCTGTAGCGAGCAAAGATAATGGGCGCGTATGTCGTGGTCTACGCTCTCACTGCCGATGTAGAGCAACAGATACAGACGAAAGGAGCAAGGTCAGGCCTGTAATCAATAGAGCTACACGTTCATTACGTGCAATTTACCTGGTGCTGTGTAGAAAGCGGTCGCTAAAATTCTGATAACGTGGGTATGAGATGGACCCACCGCCGTATAGTAGCGTGACCAGCGGCAGGGAAGAGGATGCATTGAACTTTCTTGAGTAGTAGCAGGAAAAAATGGCAACTGAAGCTGCATTTCGAAAGGCCAAAACAAAGGGGAGCTGGAGCTCGCTGCCAGTCATTGGGATGGGCTGGGTCCGGAGAGGCTGGGTTTGTGAATTATTTGCTGGCCAACTCATCAATTTAACACTCTAAAAGTGATACCTGTCGGAGATAGTAGCTGAATATAAATGTTTGATAGCAATTTCGCGCGTTTGAACCCGTTGTTTCAACGGTTAAACGATCTCTTTAATGTGATAGTGCTAATGAGAGACACTGAGTTTTTCTCTTTATTAAGATGGTTGCGTGGCGCGACAATCCGGCCGGGTACCCGGACTGGGCAACCGAGTGTCAATCCATGCTGAGCCCGACCTTCTGGCTGCTTACGAAGCGGGTGGCTCGCGCTCGTTGAGCGCATGGAGCTCCAGTGGCACGGGGTGAAAGATTTTGGTCATTTCTTCACTAAAGTAGTGAGGAAGAAATGGCCGATCTCTTTTGGTCTCTAGAAAGTCACAGTTGAAGTGACTTTTAACTACGATGGCTATAGTTTTTACTTTTTATCGCTATTAAGTACGATGCATTAGCTTTAAAATTGCATCGCCAAAAAGAAAAGAAAATCACTTACGATAGGTTTGATGGCGTTGAAGACAGCATCCACGCCACGGTAACGCAGTGTGCGTACGTCTGCATGAAGTCGGGAGACGATGCCGCCAGTATGCGCACTGCCGGAGTGGCGAACAGCCATATATAACGTTACATTGTATAATGCAGGCCCTGCAACAGCTACCGTGTTGATGTGCGGGGATCAGTACGCAAGGAGCCTGTGATATTTTTTACGTGGAGTCGTGGTGCGTGGACGTGTTTGAGCACTGGATCTCGCGTTGCATTTGATCTCGTGGCTACTTTTACGTATTCTGAGGCGCTAGTCTCTTCATGAAGAGAGGAGAGAGTGAAAGGCGATGGCAAGTGGAGTGTCTTGCTGTCATCGAAGGGTCTGATCGCTACTATATGTGCTGGTGGAGGCGACTTTGACGAGCTGTATGGTGCGAGTGCAGCTTGATGCAGAAGTCTGATGTGTCCAAGTATGACTTGGCGCTCGCGATTGGTGCCGTGGTTTCGTCAATTGTTGCCGTCTGATTCTGGAGTTGCTCCTTGCTTTCCCGTTCGAAAGTTGCAAGCGACTGTATGAGATTCGAATTAAACGTGGTTTTTCGTTGGCGTTTTGTGGGGTTATGTTTTTTTCGCTGGTTTAATTCTGCTGTTTGCTACGGTATCTTCAATGTTAACTTGGCTGTGAAGCTCTTGTTGGTGGGTGCTTTAAAAACCCTGGAGTACAGTACCTGACGTTGGTTGCGTGCCCAGCAGTGTCCAAAGAATCAAGTGCATACTGCGTGTGCGGGGGTGACAATGCGCTTGGGGCACTTGATTCTTCACGCTGTAGACCCGCAGACAGCCAATCGGATTCCTTCCTCTCGCGGCTTCTTCACGGTCGGAGTGGGCCAATTGCATCGTGTTAGTACTAGTGACGTCCTGTATTATCAGACGTCGAGCACGCAAGAAAGAGTGCGCAGACCTGGACGCTGAGGCTGCTTCGGCGCTTTGTGGACCTCATTCCTCAAGTTACCGCGGACCACGCACACGACAACACTCCAGCGACCTGCATCACGCCCCAAGCTCTGCGGATGAGCCGGATGAGGTGGCGTGTACCTGTTGGATCCATGGCTGTGCACGCGAAGGACGTGTCGAGCGCGCGTTGAACTTGCTCGAAGATCTTCTCGAGTGCGGCTTGACCCCGTCGCTCGTGACGTACAACACGTTAATCAATGCGTGTGCCAAGTCGCACTATTACGCACACAAGGCTGTCGAGCTCTACAACGAGATGCAGGAACTGTACGACTACACGCCCGATCTGTACTCGTACACGACGGTACTGCACGCGTGTGCCAAGCATGGAGACTTTATCCAAGCCGAGCAGATCATTCGACACATGGAACGGCATCATGTACCCATGACCGAGTTCGTGTATAACACGCTGTTTAACGTGTACGCACGCGCTCAGTTTCGCGCTATTGTGGACAAGGCTCCGCGGAATCAGAAGCCATTGCCCAAAGCTGAACCCATTTACCAGGAGCCACTGGAATGGGACGACGACGGGAAGGAAATCGACTTGACACGTCCAGGAAAGAAGACGTTCTCGCTAGAGAATGCCAACTACGATGGACGCTTTGACGAGGAGGGCGAGGACGAGGACGAAAGGGACGAAAGGGACAGCTACAAGCTCAGTCCAGAGGCCTTGGCACAAGTGGAAGCGTTGCGTCAGCAGGATGAGTCCAGTCACGAAGAAGTGAAGAAGGCCGAGTCGACGGCACTGGTCAAGACGGAGCGGAGTATGGAAGTCTATGGCCAAGAGGACGACAAGCTGTTTGCTGACAGTGAGGAATCGCTGGACTTTGAGCTGACGCCGATGGACTTGACAGACTTTGGCCAGTTCCAGACGCTCAACATCAAGCGTGCGGAGGTTCGGTTCCATGAAATGACCTTCGAGAAGGGTCTCAAGCCGTCTCGGACGACGTTGAACTCGATGCTGGGCGTGTACACGAATGCGCTGCGTCTTCGCTCGGCCGAAGTCTTCATGGACGAGACGTTCTCCAAGTTCGAGCTCAAGCCCAACAAGTTCACGTACCGTAGTATGATGCAGATGTACGTGCGCGCGAAGCGGACGACTCAAGCGGAGCAGTTGCTGGAGCGTGTGCGTTCGGAGATCGAGAGCGGAGATGTGGAGGCGGACGAGGTGACATTCGGCTTGCTGGTGGACAATTACGCCAGGAAACGCTTGCTGCGTCGCGCGCTCACGACTCTGGAAGACGCAGACGCGCTGGGGCTGCAGCTGCAGGAGAAGCATCTGAAGAAGATCCGCGCTCTGACGGAGAAGTACGGCGTCTTTACGGATCTCATTTCAGAGAACCCGAACGCGGTGCTTCTCGCTAGCTCTCGCTACAAACTCATGGAGAAGCGGAAGGTGCGTGCCCAAGTGTTGGAGTACAACCGCAAGATCGGGAAGCGCTTTCTTCTTCCGGAAACCATCTACTAGACAGACTTGTATGGCGTGGGGTGTGTGGTGGGGCGTCAGGAGGAAAGGTTCGTCAGTAGATAGATGCTGTCCGAGACAGAGATAATAGGCTTTGGACACTACAGTACCCAAGGGCGGTACCCAAAGGTGTGTGAGGATTGTATTGCCTTAGAAGCGAATCCTACCAATATGAGCGTGTCCCTCGTCAAGTGACGTTTAGCAGCCGGAGCCACCGGCGATGCGCAGACAGGAAGTGGAGTCGGAGACGCAAGGACAAGGTGTCCACGACTGTATTCGAACAGTATCACCGCCTACAAAACTACTACATGTACTCAAGTAACTAGCGAGACGAAACGAAGCACTTCTTTTGTGAAAGTATTGTTTATAAAGACTTGTAATATTGTCGACTAGTCTAAAATCTGGGAAGCGGCCAATTCAGACCAACCGAGAAGAAAAGTCATCAGCTTCCACTGGTAGAGCCGCAAAAACTCGATGACACCTCCAAGTGCTGAGTGTGCGGTGAGCTCCACGGCATACAGGGGTCTCTCTCCACACGACAAGAAGATGAGGATCTTGGATTCCTGGTAAAAGACAGAATGAGCAATCGTTGGGGCAGACGAAAATGACCCGTGCTTGCTAACGAAGCGGTCCTGTGCGACGAGCCGTTCCTGCGTGTGACTACTAGCACCGGTGTGACTCTGAGTCACTGACTCACGGTGAGCTTCACTTATCGTCAAAAACACTCATGACAAATTTCGTCTTCGAACGCGTTGGCCAAAAGCACAAATCGGTCGATTTTCAGATAATAATCAGCTAGTAAGATAGTACTAGTTGGTCAAGGGCTAATTTAATTATATTTAATTTAATCAGATACAGTAATAGTAGTTGTTGATCTTCGGCTAATCCATAGAAGTTCTAGTTGTCTTAGTAGTCCAGTAGAAGTTAGGTATTAAGTCCCACCAAGCAATATCATACCCTGCCCAGGGAGGTCGCCACTGCCTGAAGACGCTAATGTCATCTCGCTCGGCTCAGAACGGCTGCAGATGCCAAAATTGAGCTCTCGATTGCAATCGTGCCATCCCTGGAGAGCCATTCTCCTGGTCATGGTCAAAGCTCGACGGTGTCCAGCCTTGACCACCCATTCCGCTGGAGAGGTCACTTGTCGGGTTCCAGCCTTGGCTACCAGTACCACAACTTGTTGTTAGTCGTCGCTGGCTGCGATCAAGCCTGATACCCAGCTCCATTGGGAACCATCATGTTGTTTGAAGACGCTGTCTGCATCCACCGAGGCTCCCTAAGCCTTCATCTCCAGAAGAAACTGTTGAGCCTTACTGCCTCGCCCCTGCGGCTTGCGTGACATCATTCTCGCCACCGAGTTCAATTGCAGACGCTTCAGGCTGGGGTCCATTAGGCAATCCGCGACGTCTCGTCCATTTGTCAAGGCTATCTAGACGTAGTAGGCCACTCTAGTAGTGATCGATGGTCGCCAGTCGCTGTTGCATTAACTACGCGGACAGCAGCACACACAACCATCGCCACGGACAACTCGTCCGCAAGACACACATCAACTTGAAATTCTTCAACCGCAACGGGTTACCGATCTATAGACTGGGAGCACATCGATAGGAAATCAGTCGGGTGTGTGGTTCGCGGCACCTTGGCGAATGACAAATTGCGCGAGATACCAGGTTTGACAAAAAAATCCTCCAGATTTTTAGAGGCCCAATAGGACATCATCTCTGTGGATGCAGTACCGAATCAGCTATGCTAGCTAGCTCCCCATTTGATGAGACTAAAAATTGCAGGGAATAAAGTGCCAACCGTACCAAATAGTATTGAGGATCAATTGTGACGTAAGTGATGGCGGGGTGGGTTAGCAGGACTTGTCGCGGAAGATCCGCAGCACTGGGATGTAGTTGTGTAGAAGGCTTGGGCACTAGCCGGTGAAATTGACAATGGCGAGTGGAGAGCACTGAAGTCTTGCAACACCGTGGGCCAAAGTATCCACTTTAACGAGCTCAGCTGACGTTTGAGCCGCCAGCCACATACGTGCCACGGTAGCGCTGACAATAAGTGAACAGCAAGCTTGATGTACCGATTTCAGTTTATTCCTTCAGCCATCGTACGTCGAGCTCAGATTGCTTCCCTTGATGCGACGTAGCTTTCGCAACTGTTGCCGACAGCACGTTGGCCTTGATAGTAGCGGGCATCCAGGCAGACGCCACGTGTAAATGTCGGAAACTGAAGAAGCGTATGACAAAACTGTGTACACGAAAACCCCACCAAATAGTCTTTGCAAGCTCAATCGCTTAAGGGCAACCTGCATTTCCTCATCCGATTCGGCAGCAGATATGGGGCACTATAACGCGACTAACGCAGCATTTCGGTCGACCATACGCTGAAGGTAATTAACGACGGCTTGTACTGTACTGCCGGCTACAGTGAAGCTCGCATTCTCACGGCCAGAATCAGACATTGGTCATCGCTATTATGATACAAAGGCAAAACAACACGACTGCATTAGCCATCAGCCTGCCACATACTGACACTCAAAGACGCGCTCACCTTTCCACTTTGCAAAGTCTTTGGTACACCGCTCTGAGCCGCACATTCTTAGGCATTAGTAGCCTCGTTGTGATAATCAGAGCAGGACACCGCAGCACATAGCAATTCCACTTCGCTTGGCCGCTTCATGCTTGTACAGAATACTCAGATACCAGCGTACGACACCGCCATTCTCTTGTCTAGTCACGCTATTCTCTAGGGTAAATTGTAAATACAATGGAATCAATGTCAGCACTACCACAAACGCTTCGTCATACGGACACGATACGGAACGACAAGGCAAAACGTCACCTTCCTCATCTCGTGTGCACCACTTTGATCGTGCGTGTAATACCGTTCCAGCATCGTGTGGTACGACGAAAACTTCCCGTCCGCAACACGAAATCTCTGCTATCACTCGATTCTGATGGTCGACGGAGAACGGAGAGATCCAAATGCTACCTCTATCAGCCGATAGCGAAACGTCACGTATCAGCTCTCGCAGTGCCGGTCGGGCTTGAGCTAGCCGATTCTGCTTGAGGTGAAGGAGTTGGCCCTGTGCCCAGCCCACATCCGCGGTGGCGACGTGCATGAAAATCATCAAGACAGCGCTGCAATCGTGGCACATAAAGTGCGCCACAGCGATGACAGATACCACCACATTCGCAGTACATGTAGCTCGATCTCGACAGACATAATGCATTTGGCCGTATTCGCGGCTCCATTGTTGTTGACCTCGTCTTACAAAGCACATAAGCATGCCTCCTCACTCAAATAGCGCGCATTTTATGCCGCGACTCAATGATAGTCCCAGCAGTTGCATGTATCCACTCCACGCACACCAAGTCGTGAGTTTGATGACTCGAGCTTCGCAGACACTTTAGTGTAGATACTCACTGCAGACACATTAAGTAGGCATAACCACGTCAGTTCAGTGGACGTATCCACATCTTCTACAGCCACTATGTACATGTAGTACGCTTACCATCTGAGTAGAGCGGAAGTTGCTCATGTTGGACATGTTGCACACTCCATGTACCCGAACTTGCCGCAATTCCGCGTAGTGACACGGGTGAAAATGCTCGTCTTCCGTGCTTGTCGAGAGTAGTGGCCGACCGAAAACGCCGGGACTGCGTACAACATGTCCACAGAACACCTTCTCACCATGAGCCTGGTGGCCGTACTGGCCTAAATGTGGGTATTTGGTTTGATAGTGACCTTGTGCTGCACAAATATGCTTTAGAATGCTAATACATTTCCGGACGATATGGTGCAATTGTCGCCATTAGACATTTTTGCTGCACCCATCCTTGTATTTTTATCAGCCAGACACTTACTGACGTTGAGGACGTTAAGCCGCCGGGTATGTGGTGACCGAAACGCAGTTGCCGTTTGCTTGGTTGAGCTCGGATGCGGTAACACACTTGAACACGAAGTTGCTGTATTGGCCTTCGCGTCCACAAAGTGGGCATGTACGCGGATGTGGCCGCTGCAGCAGGCAGCGGGCATGACGCGTTTTCACTGACTTCATAGGCTTCAGTGCATCCGGGGCCAATTGCCGTTGCAGTTGAGCGTTAGTAAGCGCCAGCACCTATCGGCATGATGCAACTTGCATCTGCAAGCTCGCTTAGCTCGCGTAGCTTGGCACTTTAGCAGGTGTAGTCGCTGTCGCGGTAGGCAAATCGACAGGTAGGCCCAGCGGCGAGCGTACATGTCGCCGCTCCGTCGCCTTTAGCGTGACGCTTCCACACACTAAAAGCGGGTTTGTCGATGGATTGCCATTTGTGGTGGGATGTCCGCTGAGAGGCCACTTCAACTTAAGGTCACCGAGCATACGATCATCGAAAGTAGCAAGCAATATGAGCAGATTTGTGTTGGTTGTACACAAACTTAGTCACAACATCCGTCGTACCGTATCACTCGTACGTACATGTACCGTGATTCGCTGAAGACGGCAGCGGACATGTCGGCGCGTCCAGCCAGGACGACGGGGCACAGCATGTGCACTCCTGCCGGTACGTCTGATAACGTTGGTCATTCGTAAAAAGTGCAGCCTCGTCCTTCTTCTGCTGTAGCGAGCAAAGATAATGGGCGCGTATGTCGTGGTCTACGCTCTCACTGCCGATGTAGAGCAACAGATACAGACGAAAGGAGCAAGGTCAGGCCTGTAATCAATAGAGCTACACGTTCATTACGTGCAATTTACCTGGTGCTGTGTAGAAAGCGGTCGCTAAAATTCTGATAACGTGGGTATGAGATGGACCCACCGCCGTATGGTAGCGTGACCAGCGGCAGGGAAGAGGATGCATTGAACTTTCTTGAGTAGTAGCAGAAAAAAATGGCAACTGAAGCTGCATTTCGAAAGGCCAAAACAAAGGGGAGCTGGAGCTCGCTGCCAGTCATTGGGATGGGCTGGGTCCGGAGAGGCTGGGTTTGTGAATTATTTGCTGGCCTACCCATCAATTTAACACTCTAAAAGTGATACCTGTCGGAGATAGTAGCTGAATATAAATGTTTGATAGCAATTTCGCGCGTTTGAACCCGTTGTTTCAACGGTTAAACGATCTCTTTAATGTGATAGTGCTAATGAGAGACACTGAGTTTTTCTCTTTATTAAGATGGTTGCGTGGCGCGACAATCCGGCCGGGTACCCGGACTGGGCAACCGAGTGTCAATCCATGCTGAGCCCGACCTTCTGGCTGCTTACGAAGCGGGTGGCTCGCGCTCGTTGAGCGCATGGAGCTCCAGTGGCACGGGGTGAAAGATTTTGGCCATTTCTTCACTAAAGTAGTGAGGAAGAAATGGCCGATCTCTTTTGGTCTCTAGAAAGTCACAGTTGAAGTGACTTTTAACTACGATGGCTACAGTTTTTACTTTTTATCGCTATTAAGTACGATGCATTAGCTTTAAAATTGCATCGCCAAAAAGAAAAGAAAAAACATTTACGATGCGTTTGATGGCGTTGAAGACAGCATCCACGCCACGGTAACGCAGTGTGCGTGCGTCTGCATGAAGTCGGGAGACGATGCCGCCAGTATGCGCACTGCCGGAGTGGCGAACAGCCATATATAACGTTACATTGTATAATGCAGGCCCTGCAACAGCTACCGTGTTGATGTGCGGGGATCAGTACGCAAGGAGCCTGTGATATTTTTTACGTGGAGTCGTGGTGCGTGGACGTGTTTGAGCACTGGATCTCGCGTTGCATTTGATCTCGTGGCTACTTTTACGTATTCTGAGGCGCTAGTCTCTTCATGAAGAGAGGAGAGAGTGAAAGGCGATGGCAAGTGGAGTGTCTTGCTGTCATCGAAGGGTCTGATCGCTACTATATGTGCTGGTGGAGGCGACTTTGACGAGCTGTATGGTGCGAGTGCAGCTTGATGCAGAAGTCTGATGTGTCCAAGTATGACTTGGCGCTCGCGATTGGTGCCGTGGTTTCGTCAATTGTTGCCGTCTGATTCTGGAGTTGCTCCTTGCTTTCCCGTTTGATTGTTGCAAGCGACTGTATGAGATTCGAATTAAACGTGGTTTTTCGTTGGCGTTTTGTGGGGTTATGTTTTTTTTCGCTGGTTTAATTCTGCTGTTTGCTACGGTATCTTCAGTGTTAACTTGGCTGTGAAGCTCTTGTTGGTGGGTGCTTTAAAAACCCTGGAGTACAGTACCTGACGTTGCTTGCGTGCCCAGCAGTGTCCAAAGAATCAAGTGCATACTGCGTGTGCGAGGGTGACATACGCTTGGGGCACTTGATTCTTCACGCTGTAGACCCGCAGACAGCCAATCGAATTCCTTCCTCTCGCGGCTTCTTCACGGTCGGAGTGGGCCAACTGCATCGTGTTAGTGCTAGTGACGTCCTGTATTATCAGACGTCGAGCACGCAAGAAAGAGTGCGCAGACCTGGACGCTGAGGCTGCTTCGGCGCTTTGTGGACCTCATTCCTCAAGTTACCGCGGACCACGCACACGACAACACTCCAGCGACCTGCATCACGCCCCAAGCTCTGCGGATGAGCCGGATGAGGTGGCGTGCACCTGCTGTATCCATGGCTGTGCACGCGAAGGACGTGTCGAGCGCGCGTTGAACTTGCTCGAATATCTTCTCGAGTGCGGCTTGACCCCGTCGCTCGTGACGTACAACACGTTAATCAATGCGTGTGCCAAGTCGCACTATTACGCACACAAGGCTGTCGAGCTCTACAACGAGATGCAGGAACTGTACGACTACACGCCCGATCTGTACTCGTACACGACGGTACTGCACGCGTGTGCCAAGCATGGAGACTTTATCCAAGCCGAGCAGATCATTCGACACATGGAACGGCATCATGTACCCATGACCGAGTTTGTGTATAACACGCTGTTTAACGTGTACGCACGCGCTCAGTTTCGCGCTATTGTGGACAAGGCTCCGCGGAATCAGAAGCCATTGCCCAAAGCTGAACCCATTTACCAGGTGCCACTGGAATGGGACGACGACGGGAAGGAAATCGACTTGACACGTCCAGGAAAGGAGACGTTCTCGCTGGAGAATGCCAACTACGATGGACGCTTTGATGAGGAGGGCGAGGACGAGGACGAAATGGACGAAAGGGACAGCTACAAGCTCAGTCCAGAGGCATTGGCACAAGTGGAAGCGTTGCGTCAGCAGGATGAGTCCAGTCACGAAGAAGTGAAGAAGGCCGAGTCGACGGCACTGGTCAAGACGGAGCGGAGTATGGAAGTCTATGGCCAAGAGGACGACAAGCTGTTTGCTGACAGTGAGGAATCGCTGGACTTTGAGCTGATGCCGATGGACTTGACAGACTTTGGCCAGTTCCAGACGCTCAACATCAAGCGTGCGGAGGTTCGGTTCCATGAAATGACCTTCGAGAAGGGTCTCAAGCCGTCTCGGACGACGTTGAACTCGATGCTGGGCGTGTACACGAATGCACTGCGTCTTCGCTCGGCCGAAGTCTTCATGGACGAGACGTTCTCCCAGTTCGAGCTCAGGCCCAACAAGTTCACGTACCGTAGTATGATGCAGATGTACGTGCGCGCGAAGCGGACGACTCAAGCGGAGCAGTTGCTGGAGCGTGTGCGTTCGGAGATCGAGAGCGGAGATGTGGAGGCGGACGAGGTGACATTCGGTTTGCTGGTGGACCATTACGCCAGGAAACGCTTGCTGCGTCGCGCGCTCACGACTCTGGAAGACGCAGACGCGCTGGGGCTGCAGCTGCAGGAGAAGCATCTGAAGAAGATCCGCGCTCTGACGGAGAAGTACGGCGTCTTTACGGATCTCATTTCGGAGAACCCGAACGCGGTGCTTCTCGCTAGCTCTCACTACAAACTCATGGAGAAGCGGAAGGTGCGTGCCCAAGTGTTGGAGTACAACCGCAAGATCGGGAAGCGCTTTCTTCTTCCGGAAACCGTCTACTAGACAGACGTGTATGGCGTGGGGTGTGTGATGGGGGGTAAGGAGGAAAGGTTCGTCAGTAGATAGATGCTGTCCGAGACAGAGATAATAGGCTTTGGACACTACAGTTCCCAATGGCGGTACCCAAAGGTGTATGAAGATTGGATTTGCTTTAGTACTCGAATCCTACCAATATAAAGCTGTCCCTCGTTAAGTGACTTTTAGCAGCCGGAGCCCGGACAGGAAGTAGAGTCGGAGACGCAAAGACAAGGTGTCCACGACTTTATTAGAACAGTACTAGCCGAGCGCCGCCGCTACGCGGCGGAAATGTAGGTTGAGCTCTCTTGCTTTGGCCCTGCCGCCTCCGCTACGCTTCGGCGTGATAACTAAAAAAACGATGAGCCCATGTGTACCAACGTTATGATTGAAACATTTGAATATTGTGTCGCAAGACGCCTTGCTGTTGACGGTAGTGTTTTCTATTTGATAATTTAACGATGATTTCAGGATTATTGGACGTCATTTAGGCTCCAAGTTTATTAACGTTTCTCTATGTGGTCTACTTAACCAACTATAATTAACACCTCTCGTGTTTTGTTGTTGTCTTGCGGCTCCACTTAAAATCGTATCCTACGCCCTTGTCGGCGACACGTCTGCCCGTTAAGTAGTATCGGAGTTTGCTGTCTAAACAACTAGAAAACAATGGTTTACAGCAGTAACGCATATGAGCTCATTTTATTTAATCTAAAAACTTTTTATGGATCAAGTGACAACGTTTATTAGCTGCGTTGTTCGTACGGCCAGTTCTTACGGCCAGCTTCTGTTGTACATGTACTACGATTTGGCAGCTCAGTCAGTTACCTCACTCTCAGATAAATTATTAATATTTCTACAACAAAAAGCTGTAGTTATTAAAGTCATTGTAACTTGCAGAAACTATTAAGTGCAGAGTATTACATATTTTAGTATAACCTCGAAAACACGCATTCCTACGTGTACGCTAAGCACCTTGCAGCTTAGGAAGCGTCTTTAGGGGCTACTTCATTGGAGAATAAGAAGCTCTGTCTGTTTAGCACTTAAATATTACAAGCAACATGCATTATTAAAAAAAAAAATATATTAATACTTCGTAATATTAAAATGATGCCGCCTTCGGATAATGGATAGTCTTGCAAATCTCCATATGTGCTCTGTGAACCACATGAATTTACTGATGTAAGCTACATTTTCCGTTTTAACCAATCGAAGCCGCCTTCGCTCCGCTCGGCAGCCAATGGGAAGATAAAAAATCTGAGCGTTTCGTGTGACGGACGGACGGACACCGTGCTAGCATTGATAGTTTAGGACTAGCCGCTACGCGGCGGAGGTGGCAGGTTTAAGTCCAAGGGGAGATGGGCTCCCGCCTTCGCTGCGCTCCGGCGTAAACATGATTTATGTAAACGTGATGTATTACATGCATATGAAATTGAACATTCCTACTCCGAGCCAAAGATGTGCCTGTAGACAATGTTCTGGGCGTAGACCCCATCCTCCTCCTCCAGCTTTGGGTACTCGACCAGCGCCTTGAATCTTGATCTTGAAGTAACTCGCGACATCGTAACGTACAGCTGCCCGTGGGAGAAGCAAGGCGTAGCAAGATACAACCCCAAGTACTGCACCGTTTGTCCTTGCGCCTTGTTGATCGTCATCGCAAAGGCCGGTTGGACAGGAAACTGCTTGCGTCTCAAATGAAACGGAAAGCTCCGAATGTCTCCGTCACTGATGAAAACAATGCGGGGAATCAACACATGTTGCCCTTGTCGCTCACCGGTCATGATTGTGGCGTGGATGACATGTGGCTTGAGGGCCACAATTCGAAGCCGTGTTCCGTTGCACAACCCTAGATCTGGATTTAAGTTTCGCATCATCATGATATGCATTCCTACCTTGAGCGTCAACTTGTGGAGAGGCATTCCACTGATATTCATCGAGTGGAGTACCTCCTGCTCGAAGAAATTGCCGTCACCGTCGTCTTGTACAGAGTCGGAAGACATGTATTCCCGCGCCTGTCCAGTTAATCGATCGGTCACCGCTTCATTGATTCGGTGCACGATTGCGTTCGTGGTCGTGAGGATCGTACGGTTAGCGAAATACTCGTCGGTAGCAATCTCGGGGTTATTAATCTCGCCATACATCTCGTCGATGATCCGATCCATGCCTCTTGGAATAACGCCAGGACGAATTTCCTGGCCCTCATCCTCTGGCACAGGTGGATTCTCAATCAGCATATCGCGCGGGATCTTCATGTAATCGTTTCTTAGGGAAGGGTTTACATCATGCCTTCCCTCCCCAACTTGCAGCAGGAACTCGGAGAACGCAGCCATTTCCTCAGCAGTGTCTGCAGTATCAGCTGTACGCACTCGCATATTTCCCGTAAGACGGAACGTCTGGAATTGGGGCCACAGCCTAGACGACTTGAGGCAAGCGTCAATTGTCTTTTCCACTGTCCGTTCGCGAGTGCTGGCCTTCTTTACCACTCCATTCTTAACGACCGGGAGAAACTGGCGGAAATCTCCCGAAAGTACAAACACTTTCCCCCCAAAAGGCTCGGTATCGTTGTCAAGTATGTCCCACAGTGTTCTGTCTACTGCCTCGAATGCGTGGCGATGGGCTATAGGTGCTTCGTCCCAAATAATCAAACTTGCATGCTTGATCAACTCCTGAATATGGGAGTCCTTCCTGATACCGCACGTCGAGCTCTCGTTCAATTTCAAAGGGATCTTGAATGTAGAATGCGCTGTCCTACCACCCATAAGTAAGAGCGAGGCAATACCGCTAGACGCCACAGCGATGGCGATTTTCCTCGAGCGTCTGACTTTGGCCAGTATATTTCGAAGCAGTGTAGATTTTCCAGTACCACCCGGGCCATCGACAAAAAATAGTTTCTTGCCTTCCTCTGGGCATACAACCGCTTCAATAATCTGGTCGTACATCACCCGCTGACTTTCGTTTTGCTGATCTTCTGTGTTTACAATCGCCTCCAAAGCTGACGCATCGTATCCAGTGAGCTCACGTCGTAGTAATCCGTTTTGGCGAAGCGCTTCACGAATCAATGTTGGGAACGACCCCAACTAAGGAAGCTCGTCGAAGTCAGCTACCGCATACCCACTCGCTTGAAGTAGCTCGTGAATGCTCATCAGCGTTTCAAATTCGACCAACGCCGACTTAAAGGGGTCCATCAAAGGCTGGTGTTTGCGTGCAAAGTCTTGGGAAAGATCCGCGAAGAACCGATCACATAGAACACCAACATTTGCTGGGGCTGAATACACCAGAATGGTGACAAAGAGCAGGCGTAGTTGATACGGCATTTGGAAGTCAGCCGCTTCCCTCAAACACGAAACCCACTAGTTGTCATTCTCTAAGTAGCCCGCCTCCCGCGCCGCAATTTGGAATGTTGGGCAGACAATCCCGTTAACCGTTCTCACGTCTTCAAACGACGTTGGACCTCTACGCTGACAGAGCAGTAGCCGAAGGTAGAACCGCTCCATATCTCGAGGAGACACGTGAATCATGCGACCAACCGCAGCTTGATACTGTTTCCGGCGAGCCCACCTTTTCGGTTGCCCTTCCTCCGGCGCTTTCCAGCAGAACTCTTTGGGGATATCCTGATACAACATCGTCCTGGCAATATGGTTCTGAGGCTCTTCACTCGCACACAACTCAAAGAATCTGACCAGCATCGTGTGACTACCACGTTCCAAAACCGCCTCCGGGTTTTCCGTCTTACGAAAGCAAAGCGTCTGGCCTGACTCGAGATGAACCGCTAGCTGTGTCACCGCATGAGTTTTCCCCTGAATCGTGAAATCGAGCAGGCGCATGCAAGCTTTCACCGGAGAAATGTACCGGGCGCTCAAGAAACGTAGAATCTCATTTGGTTCTCGACGCGCACTCTGCTGCCCTCCTCGGACTTCTTCCACAGTGAGTATAGCCATGTCGGGTCCTTTGTACACATACTTGTACAGGTATTTAACCGCAGTAATATCCGTGCACACTTCGACATTGATGTGGCAGTTGTACTTCTGGGATAAGTACGGGTTGTACGGTACAGCCCACTGGTTGATCGTAGCATTGTCGTATTCTCTGCCTTTGAACTTTAGAACACCTTCTTGCCGTCGACGTCGTCTGTACACTGGATATCCGCTGGCATTGGCTTGTGTAACTTCTGCTAAGGGCTTCGGATATCCTTTGGTGCACTTGCCGTCCTTCATACACGCGCAGGAAGGGTTTGCAGGCCCGCATGGACCATGGAGCATGCATGACATGACCGTCTCATACAGCTGAGGGTTTGTATCCTTTCGACAACGTAAATCCGCGCGCGCACTCGCCCCAGGACGCCTTGGTTTAAATCGTCAAGCGTCGCTTGTAGTTTCTGCTGCCACACGCGAGCCACGATGTCTGGTCGCTCTTGAGCTGTCTGGATATCGGAAGGTATCGCTTCAAGAATCTCGTCCCACTTAGGGTTGCACGTTTCAGTCAGGAAGACGTCGGGCCGTCCATACTCACGAACAATTGCCATCGCATCTTGATACGACTTGTACATGGACCTCGGGCTACCCAGGTGCGAAGCCGGTAGTATGATACGCTTGCCAACCTGATTAAGAAAGTGGGTTGGTCGTCCTCTGTTGCCTCCGTCCTGGTCCGGGTGCACCAATCTGTTCTGAGCTCGGTCGTATTCCGACAGCAGCACTTCTCCTTCCGCCAGATCCAAAGTATCTTCGTTGAGCAAAGCGTACTAGACATCGAGAAAATGATGGCAGAGCACAACCCATTAGCGCAACGGTTCCTCCACTTTGGGCAGCAAGTGCGTCAACATAACACGGAGGCTCCAGTAGACTTGGTGTTCCGTCTGCATGACAACTCCTCGCGACCGAGGCCACATAACCGCCCCACTGTGTCTGAAGTGGCTGCGACTCTCATTGAGGATGGCAACCTGGCTCAGCCTCGGGATCTACTTCTCTTTACACGCGATCAAAGACTGATACGTT